GTAACATATACGTAATAAATATATAAGATATTTATATATGTTACATAGGCCTTCATTTGATATTTATATTATAATACTTTCTTTATCAAAAAATAATTGCATAAGAGAAAGAGAAAAATGCGTTTTACGATATTTGTTTGTTTAATTGGCTTGTTCTATTTTCTTTTGTCAATAACACATGTTTCGTGTCATAATAATTTATTTATAACATATATATTTTATATTTCTTCTCAGAATATACATTATATAAGGAACGTAATATACGAACACGCATGCACATATGCAATAACGGAAGCTTTGTAACTGTATCACGCCATGCTTATTTGCCGATTGAGAATATATGAAGGGGGGAAAGAGTCGAGATGTCATAAATCTTTTTACACAGAGGATCGCAATTATCTCATATATTAAAAGCATCGATGGTTGATCTCCTTTTCTCAGATCAACACTTGGGATCGGAATGCCGAATATTGAACTGTTGCAATGCGGCAAGTATCTTGGCATCCATGTGGAGAAGTCTAATAAAAATTTTTAACTTTCATCAAATTGATGTGTATTAATATTTTCGTCTATTTTTCTAAATAAGAATTAAATTTAAAAATTATCTATTTAAAAATTATTCAACTGCATTATAATAAAATCTTTGATAATTTTGACAGAATTTTGACAAATACATCTTAATAAAGAAAAGAATATGAAAGTGAAGAATTTCTATTGTATCATACGTACGTAAAATTCTAACAGTGAGTTTTGAAAGATTTAAAATTAATCAAGAATTAATCGGTCGAAATTCGACTTGTATAACGTGTTCCACAAAAGATTTCAAGAAATTTCAGCAATTTCATTAAACAAATGCTCTTCATACAGTGGTATCCATAAAATAGAATTATACATAATTCACAAAAATTTATTTATAACACATTTAATTCAAACTGTACAATGTAAAGAACGCAGAATATGTTAGTTGAATACAAAAAATTATCAAACTTATAGTCTTAAAATATAAAAATGTAAATAAATACAAACTTTTATGTCGTGGAACTCATATAATAATTATTTTCCAAGAAAAAAATAGACTAAAAATAATATAAATTTTTAATTATAATTTTTAAAAATAATACATAATTTTAAAAATTTTTAAATTTCTTATTTTTTTTTAGTACTGTAGTATATGCAGATTTTTATGCATTTTTTTACATAAAAAAGTATTATTTAAGATTCTTATAATAGAATAATTTAATTTTATAAAAGGCAAATGAGATGAGAGAATAAGACGAGCAATTCTTAAAATGTGCCGACATCTGT